TTCTTGGGGCGTTTCCTTTTACTGAAACTGATTGCTGTGCTGAACCAACGTCTTTGTGGGCAGATTTCTTGTGAGTTGGCTGAGAAGTGAACATCTTGACAACATCAGCGAATGAGATTTTTGGCTTTGGTTCAAAGAGGGGAGCCGCAGTGACATCTTTTGCTTCATCAGCTATGACAGCTGTTGCTTCATCAGCTATGACAGCTGTTGCTTCATCAGCTATGACAGCTGTTGCTTCATCAGCTATGACATCTTTTGCTTCATCAGCTATGACAGCTGTTGCTTCATCAGCTGTGACATCTTTTGCTTCATCAGCTATGACATCTTTTGCTTTATCAGCTATGACAACTTGTGCTTCATCAGCTATGACAGCTGTTGCTTCATCAGCTGTAGCTAAGTAAGAATAGTTCACCATAAAGTCGTTCAGTAAAACTTCAGTAGGAGTTAGTTGCCAGATGCTGGGCTTAAATAAGTTTCTTGCAGCCTCAGCAGGAGATGGCTGTGGAGTTGGTGGTTGCGAAAGGCTTGTCGTGAATTCATTTGTTTGCACCTCGACATACAAAGGTGTCGCCACATCTGAGCAAAGACTGTGTTCTGCGGGGCTAGCCTGAACTGTGTCGACCTCCCCTTGTAGAGCGAGAAACTTGCGGTGGACGATACAGGCCAGTTCGTTGATCTGGTTCTCAACGAAGTACTTGAACAGCTCAGTCTTGCTGAAGGTGGGCTCCACCTCCACCAGAAGATCAAACGAGCGGCTGTAGGTCTGCACCAGACTCAACAGGACGTGACGTGTCAGACACAGCTGCGTGAGGCTATCACGTGACAATTGTTGAATTTCTCTTTCAACTTGCCGCTTGTGTTTATAGAAGTACACGGCAATCTGGTCGATGGTACTAAGGTGCTTCTGCGCTTGGTTCTGGAATAAAGTCATATAAACATGAGGTAGGGGGTGGGTAGAGAGGGTTTTGGGGAGGTACTAAGATATCACTGATCAGTGTTTTTAAAAGGAGAGAATGTGATAATTTTTAAAACCTTGTTTTTTTTAATACAGTGTTTTCAATAACTTAGTTTAAACTTTTGGTAATTCTACACTAAATAAAATGATATCAAATATTAATAGCTCTATGACAGAGGAAAGACGTTAGAAACTAAATGCTCTAGTAAGGAAAATACTTTTTGTAGCTAAATGGAGTAGTCAGTAAACATGGTCCCCATATAAAGGTGGCGACAAAAAATAAATTATGTACTCACCTTCTTGACATAGCCAAGTACCCTGGACTCCGTGATGGGGACATATGGTACTAGTATCTCTGGTTCTGCTGGTGTGGGCGGTGGTTGTGGTTTTGGTCGTGCTATTGGTCCAACCGTTGGTCGTGCAATCGGTGGTAGTCGCTGGAACTCTTTTGGTCGTGATGGATCGTAGTCCGGCATCCAGAACCTTCTTGCTTTATCGATGGCTGTCAAGAAATCCATGATAGATTGACAGGCTGTGGATAAGTTAAACATCAAATGTAGAAACTGGATATAGAATGATTGAAAACTTTTTGTAGGAAATTTCATGTTAACAATTATTGAAGGTATCAACTAAACACATAATGACAAGCTGACAGCCTAATTAAACCATCACCAAATGTATAAACTGGATATACAATGATAGAAAACTTTTTGTAGAAAATTATTGAATGCATAAACTAAACCGACAGCCTAAAAAAATGTTAACCATTATCAAATGTATAAATTGGATAAATAATGATTGAAAGCGCTACTGTAGAAAATTTCCAATACTAACACTTATTGGAGCTATCAACTAAACACACCATGACAACTTAAATAATGAAGTTGACCAGCCCCAAATGTATAAACTGGATATACGATAAGGCTCAACTCGCTGTGAAAAGGTTGACCATTGAATGCATCAACTGATTATGCACAATGACAACTGGACAGGCTAAAACGTAATACTCATTGAAAATTTATTTTTACGATTGAACTGGGCAGACGCGAAGTTTTGAAACATTCAGAATACATTTAATGTTCCAATACGAGATCTTATTTAAATGTTAAAAACACTCTAAGTTGTAACACATTTCGGTTCCATGCATGTACGTTTATTTAATACAAGCAAGAATCAAAATCGAGCACACTACACTTGTCTTTATAGCTATTTATAATGTATCAAGTCACTAGCCTAGAAAAGCTATGTATATTGCACAGGCCTAACAATTTTATCATAGAAACCCGTAGTTACATTAAAACACTTTTAAAATCAACGTTACATATTTTAAAATACAAAATCGATTAAAATACATTTTTTAATAATATAAAATACTGAAAACTTTAAATACAAAATTGGTTAAACCTTGAAATATTTATGAAACATACTTGTATTTTTTTATTTGTTATGGATCCTTACTATATAGAACGTACACTACATCATATTACAACTGTACATACCTAGTCTCTTAGAGAGATGACGAAGATAATGAATTCAAACTTGTAGATCGGAGAGAGAATCTTTGAGTTACTGAAATTTAGCGCTGTCAACTTTATAGACGGTGAAATGTGGGGACATCCCTGGTCACGTGCCCAGAGACCGTCCATTGTTGGAGATCTTTGACGTCATCGACGTCTTCAAGACAATCTGACGCGCCGGAGGCGGCTCGCGGTGTATCAATGACGTCATGTCGCATTGTTGTTGTCGCGTGATGGGTGCCGTGAGATCACAAACAAAAAACACAAGGTGGATTCAAGAAGGTGACGCTAGGTGCATGGTGTCAGATGACGCTGTGTGTGTGGGGGGGGGGGGGTCAGGTGGGGCTGCCCAGGTGTAAAAACTGGGCTCATTAGATCAGACTTCATTCTTGGAGAATCTTTTCGTCACGGATCATTGATGCCACCAACACAACAAAAAACACAATCAGAAAAAAACGCCGCCTCTACCCAAATACCCCTGAGATATGTCTGTGGTGTGAGACTAGTCAATACAAACTAAGATGCTTTTTGTATAGATAGTTGATACTCGGATCTTTTATGTTTGTTGTGGGCCAGGTAACTTTTTTCTCCGGCAGGGGGCGTGGGGGTGGGGGGTGGGGTCGCAGCTATCACGGAGGGTAGGGAACACTGGTTTACGTCTATACTTTCTGTATAAATTATAAACTTTTTATATTTCATACCGCCGGGAGAGGAGTGGAGGGGGAGAACATGGACGTGCTACAACATTACCCCCCTCCCCCCTGCCACTGCCTACCATGCTGGATTTCATCTTGTAGATCGGAGAGAGAATCTTTGAGTGACTGGCATCTAGCGCTTCTCGTTTTACAGACGGTGAAATGTGGGGACTTCCCAAAAGTTACAATCTACACAATTTTTTAAAATGTTTAAAGAGCCACTAACATTTTTAAGTGCACTTCGCTAGTGGAAGGCATGGAACCATAGCCACGGGGCTGGCCACAACACAGTTGTAGGTGACGCCCAACGGCTGTCAGCTGTCTATATACGTTCTAGTCTACTCCACCTACTCTAGATGTTTTTTGTTTTTTTTTTTGTTTGTTTTTGTTTGTGTAAAGTTGTTTTTGTTTTTACAGTATAATTTTTTTTGTTTGAAAAAAAATTGTAATTATTATGGAACTGGAGAGCCGCAAATTGCATGTTGCCGACCCTGACCTAATACAAAGGTTAACGTGTATAAATTATTTTGCTAAATCACCATCAGTTGACTTTTTTTGTCCTATCTTGGAATACCAGCGTATTTCGTTTGCATTTGTTTACTTGCTTTTTTTTTGTTTCATTTCACACACACACACACACCCATATATATATATATATATATATATATATATATATATATATATATATATATATATATATATATATATATATATATATATATATATATATATATATATATATATATATATATATATATATATATATATATATATATATATATATATATATATATACATATACATATATGGGGGCCCCGCTCAGCCTTAATCCGCCCCTGGCTTAAGATACTTCTGCATATGAAGGGATAGTTTGGCCAGCACTATGCCCAGCCGTCTTTGTTTTCTTTAACGTGAGTTAAGTACTCATCAGAGCTGGGTGGACTCATGGACGTTCTACTGACTTGGACCCGGATTCAAACTCGACGATTATAATATTTTATATGGATATTCTAGACAAAAGAAAAATGGAACAGAAATAGACCGGGCTATCCTTGGTCGGATTGAAGACAATGCTCTCTTTGAATATCCTAGATAAATCATCGCTGCACTGGTTTCGCATGCCCATGTGTTTCTCTACAAGAGCTACATCCACGAGCAAATTCCTCTGATATTAATGCGCGTCTCTTTTCTTCCCTGGTCTCCGCGAGAAGAATTTTTGTACGAGCCATCTGACCCGTGGCTTGACCCGGGGGTGAAGGATGGATGGAATCAGGCCTGATAGATGCACGTCTGCCGCACCAGACGACACGGCTCGTGGAAATACCGAGGCTCGTGGCGAGTGCAGGCCCGGGGGTGAGGGGTAGCAGGGTCGGGGTGAAGGTGTACATGGGGCGCGGTGGTCAGAGAGAAGGAAATGAGAAATATATGAAGGGTTTTTATTTTCTTGGAGGCGATGGGGGGGGGGGGGGGGAGAGATGATGGAGGGTCATGACAGGTTCATTGTTCTAGTTAGAAACTTGACACCAGTAAGTAAGACAACAAAAACAATGGTGCACCCCCCCCCCCGTTTGTTTGCTTGGTGATCTTTAATAAACTAACCCAAATAGAATATCACTGGGATTTTTTAAACTATAGCAATGAGTTAAACAATGCTATGATATGATAGCATCCAAGTTTCATTCAGGCATCTTATTAGGTACTAGTTTACAGCCTCTCATCAGACGAAATTGAAAAAAAAATTATATATATATATATATATATATATATATATATATATATATATATATATATATATATAACATACAATAAATAATCGAGACACAAAACCTGTATACAAAAATTATTTATTTACAACAAACTAGAAATCATTCATATTCTTTTATGAAAAGAATTCAGGATAAAATAAATTTCTCATTGACACTATACTTAGAACCTAGAGATATACAATCCTGACAGCTGTCTCTGTCTCATAACATGTAGATTTATCAGGAAGCAAAGAAAGTTTGTGGTTGTAATTTACAGTTAAATAGTTAACCCTAAGTTATTCAGCCTAAAAACTAAACTGGGAAATTTTATTCTTGATTATTTCATTTAAAATGGGTTTTTTTTTAATAAATTAATAAAATATATTGAGATTTTACCTAAATGTTGAGGTAAAGAATATTTACCTTTGTAACTTGCAATTATAATTATAAGGATAGAAATCTTAAGTTTAAACCACTCTAGAATGATCGCTAGTAAATTTCTTAACTCCTGGCAAAATGAAAATTTAGCGTAAGGGGCAATGACTCAACAATGTGAAATCCATAACTTCCTTCATACAAATATTACCTTGCATCATATAATAAAGCTTGAAATCATCAAACATAATGTTAGCCTTATACGCTCAAGTTTCTGTTTACTGTATAGCTATTTTAAAACATTTTAAAGCCATAACTATTTTTTTTTTCACATTAAAAAAATCAGTATCAATTTGTATAAATATCTCTTACATAAATTAAATTTGCGTTATAAGCTTTACAAATGTAATTATAAATCTATATAATTCCCTTCAGTTCAGTTCACATTAACACAATCTTCCACCATTCCTTCTGCAGAATTGATTAAAATCTTCTCATGCTGGACAAGCTAAAATTGTTTTTATTTCATTACTATTTTAAACAGCAGAATCACTATCTGGTTCTTGCACTACTGATCCAGTTGTCTCCCTTAAAGAGACTGAACCACTATCTACATGAGGTGGAGTTTTACTGTTGAGATCTGATGAGCTCTCTGGGTCTGTTTCCAGCTGAGATGGGTCCTGCAGGTCAAAGCCAGTGCTAGAAATTTCTGGATCAGCTGTCGGAACAGCATTAGTTGGCGGGACAGCATCACTTTGTGAGTCAGCATCCATCGTTGGAACAGCATCACTTTGTGAGTCAGCATCCATCGTTGGAACAGCATCCATCGCTGGATTACCTGACGGAACAGCACCAGCTCTGGCGGAGGCTTCCAGAGCCTTTTCACTCTGTTTCTTCCCTTCCAAAAAGGCCTCCCACTCCTGAAGCCTCTTGGTCCTCTCCTCCTCTGTCTCCACAATGTCGTACTTGCTTTTGCCGTCCCACGTTGTGGCTACCACCCTGTTCTTGGCAAACCATCGACCGTTGAGGGCAGCTATACAGCTGTCTGCTTCTTCAGGCTCCTTGAATGTGACAGACATCACACCTTCAGGGTTGCGCTGCCAGATAAAAAAATTACACACATTCAAATCTACAATAATACAATAATTTTTAAGAATACATGCATTGTAATTTATTTAAAGGCAAAATAATATTATATTTTTAAGATGATTAATTTATAATTGCAATTAGTGTAGTAACCTAAAAGAAAAGTCCAACACTACTCACATCATAGAGGATGACTTTCTTGACATCACCAAATTTGAGACACTCTTCTCTGACATCTGCACGAAGTTCATTGATCAGGGCTGGGTTAGTCTGGAAAGGGTTAAAGTTTAAAATATCACATTAGTTAATTAATCAGGGCTAGGTTGGTCTAGAAAGGGTTAAAGTTTAAAGTATCACATAAGTAAATTAATCAGGGCTAGGTTGGTCTAGAAAGGGTTAAAATTTAAAGTATTACATAAGTTAATTAATCAGGGCTGGGTTGGTCTGGAAAGGGTTAAAATTTAAAGTATCACATAAGTAAATTAATCAGGGCTAGGTTGGTCTAGAAAGGGTTAAAATTTAAAGTATCACATAAGTTAATTAATCAGGGCTAGGTTGGTCTAGAAAGGGTTAAAATTTAAAGTATCACATAAGTTAATTAATCAGGGCTAGGTTGGTCTAGAAAGGGTTAAAATTTAAAGTATCACATAAGTTAATTAATCAGGGCTAGGTTGGTCTGGAAAGGGTTAAAGTTTAAAGTATCACATAAGTTAATTGATCAGGGCTGGGTTGGTCTAGAAAGGGTTAAAATTTAAAGTATTACATAAGTTAATTAATCAGGGCTGGGTTGGTCTGGAAAGGGTTAAAGTTTAAAGTATCACATAAGTAAATTAATCAGGGCTAGGTTGGTCTAGAAAGGGTTAAAATTTAAAGTATTACATAAGTTAATTAATCAGGGCTGGGTTGGTCTGGAAAGGGTTAAAGTTTAAAGTATCACATAAGTAAATTAATCAGGGCTAGGTTGGTCTAGAAAGGGTTAAAATTTAAAGTATCACATAAGTTAATTAATCAGGGCTAGGTTGGTCTGGAAAGGGTTAAAGTTTAAAGTATCACATAAGTTAATTGATCAGGGCTGGGTTGGTCTAGAAAGGGTTAAAATTTAAAGTATCACATAAGTTAATTAATCAGGTCTAGGTTGGTCTAGAAAGGGTTAAAATTTAAAGTATCACATAAGTTAATTGATCAGGGCTGGGTTGGTCTGGAAGGGTTAAAATTTAAAATATCACAGAATTATATGAACAATTTTACACTGTACTTGAAGTTACATCCCAAAATAACAAGGTTATTCATGTCTCAGCATGGTGCATGAAAAATATTTCAACATAAATTACGAGGTTCGAAATAAGTAAATTACCCTGGCAGTCAACAGGCCGGAGAAAGCTAATAGAGTTCTCCTGTTTCTGTGACCAGGCATATGAAGGGATAGTGTGGTCAGTTTTACCTCAGCTGCTTTTACTTCCACAACACGTCAGGTACCCATTAGAGCTGGGTGGACTCAAGTAAATCAGATAGACAAGCACAGATCCAATCTCAAGACGTTTGGGTTAGCAGTCATGGACTGTAGTACTAGACAACCCAGTACCATATTTTCTTTAAGAATGTGATTTATTATTACAGTAATTCTGTACTCACTTCAAATTCTTGAATGTTGAACATGTTTTTTAGAATGACAGTTTTTTCATGTTTGCCTCGCTGGAATGGTAGGGGATCAGGACGCCAATCAAAAAGTCTAGAAAGAAAGAGAAGCAAACAAAACAAGTGTTTATATTTATGAGTGTAAATCACAACAATGGTTCTAAAGAACACAGTGGAATACATGTTTTAGTCCTCACAAAGAAAAGTTAATGCTGTGATAGAAATGCTAGAAATATGGTATATGGTATAACTTGGGAGACTAGGACAAGTGAATATGATGATAGTTAATGGTTGTGAAAGTAACGAATTTCTTTCTCTACTAGGATTTAGTTAAATTAATATTTCCAGGTAGGTGAGGGTCCTGTGGTGACTAGCAGAAAAATGTTGTAACAATATATGAATAAGAAATTTATATAACCAATTAAAACAATGCTTAAAACTACGTTGCTGAAATATAAATGTAAGAGACTAAGGCAGATAACTCTAGAAATAAAACTAAAGAATTTTGTCTTACTTTTGTTGTCTCTCTTTCAATTTCTGCTTGGCTTTGTTACTGAGCTTCTTTTTCTTCTTCTTGGGGTCGTATTGGCCCTTGAGTTCAAACTTGGCTCTCTCTACAGTGATGGTGTGCCCCCTCAAGTCCATTCCATCCACAATCTGAAGGGCCAAGGTCACAGATTCTGGCTGTAACAACAACATTTAACACTGATCGTGAGTCATAGCAAACACAATTCATATTCAATGGAAAGTAAAAATATAGTACTTGCAGCTCCGTGGAGCAGGTGAGGTAGAGTTCACCTGTTTCTGAATGTGTACTTGATCTGAATTAAGCATGGTAAACATGACTGGAAACATCCCTAACCATGCAACACCAAGGCAGCAAGTAAATGGCCATGTGAAACAAACAGGTTAACTCTACCTCATCTGCTCTATTACTTATCAAATCTGAGGTAGATTCAATATAGGCCTTAGTCATTGGGGAATTTATATTTTTTTATATTGGATGGCATGACCTAGCGGTAGAGCCCTAACTTGAATGTCTTGAGGTTGAAACCAGTTGGTGAAACAGCCCTGAGTCCACCCAGCTCTGGTGGGTACCTAGAGTAAAGGTGGCTGGGCATTGTGTTGACCATACTATCCTTTCATATTCCGAGGTCACAGAAACTCTACTTCACTTGCCCCATGGACCATCCAGTTCAAAAATGTTTTCTTAAAGAAAAATTATTTTTAATGTAATTCACAACTGATATTTCATACAAGACAACAACAGATGGTTCACCTTAATATATGTGCATAGCCCATCTCCTTTCATATTCCCCTCGCTGTCTTTGTACAGTTTGATTTTGGGTTTCTGTGTCTGAGGGTCAAACATGATGAGGCCACACTTGGACATGAGCTCTTTGAACTCCATCTCTGTGATGTCCAGTGGCAGACCAGTGACATACAGCTGGGTGGAAGAATCTGGACTGGGTTCAAACCAGCCTGAAATAAAAAAATACAGGTAATTGAATACAACTATGTGATGTCCAGTGGCAGACCAGTGACATACAGCTGGGTGGAAGAATCTGGACTGGGTTCAAACCAGCCTGAAATAAAAAAATACAGGTAATTGAATACAACTATGTGATGTCCAGTGGTAGACCAGTGACATACAGCTGGGTGGAAGAATCTGGGCTCGGCTCAAACCAGCCTGGAACAAAAATACAGGTAATTGAATACAGCTGTGTGATGTCCAGTGGCAGACCAGTGACATACAGCTGGGTGGAAGAATCTGGACTGGGTTCAAACCAGCCTGAAATAAAAAATAAAGATAATTGAATACAGCTGTGTGCTTAGCTGGCCAAGATGACAGTACTTTAGTCAAGAGATAACATCCATTCAGTGTTAATTTTTGGGTGACCATGTGGCCTTGCGGTAGAGCACTAGAATGCTAACTTAAAAGTCTCAAGTTAGAATCCATGTTCAAGTCTGAAGAAAGTTTCTGAGTTTACCCAGCTCTGATGGGTACCTAACTCAAGTTTGGAAAAGAAAAGGCGGCTGGGCATAGTGCTGACCACACTATCCCTTCATATGCCAACATCACAGAAACAGGATGCTGATTTTGTTTTCTAAATTCTGGACCTTACTACTGTTTCGCTTGCCCCATGGACCATCAGGTTTGAAAAGGGAATTTTACTTTTAATACTTTAAATGCAACTGTAGTGTGAGGACTACAACAGATTATTATGGTTAAAGAAATTTAAGAAAATAAAGAGTTAAATAAATAATAAGGATATCAGCTATGATGGTTGCTAGAATGAATGTCTTGAATTCATTTTCTGGCTAAATTTTATAAGGCATCCAAGTCCACTAAGCTCTGATGGGCAATATTTTGGCTACACAATACCTATAGGCCAACAACTAGCTGACCATTTGAAAGAAACAGATGAACTCTACCTCATCTACTCTATTAGTATCAGAATTGTGCTACAACCTGCATAGTTAAAATATTCAGTTAATTCTTGTAATCAAACAAGTTATTATACCACTCTAGCACTCTGGTAAGATTAAACTTTAAATGCATGCTCCTTGTGCTCATAAGGCAAATAGATTATAACCCTTGAACAAGGAAGCTATTCATTTATTTTAATTTTGCTTGTATGTAAAAAGCTGTTACTTCCATGTTAGTTTAGCACTTAACGATATTAACATCAGGTGGATATTATTCGTAGACAAGAAATTTTTTTATTGTGTCGAGCTAGATTGTAACTGGTCCTGCCAATAATTATATACAGAAAATAATAATTTTTTTAAAGCTGTCAAAAATACCTTCTTCTCTTGGTGGTTCTGTTGGTTTGTTTCCCTTTTCTTCTTTCCTCTTCTTCCCTTTCTTTTCATCCTTCTTGTTATTCTCATTGGTACCAGCAGCTGCTGCAGCACTGGCCCTAAAGTCAGGCAAGGCTTCAGCATCAGGGTGCAGCTTGTAGTATTCTCTATAGGAATCTGCATACTCCTTCCCATAGTAGTATAGATTGTACTGATAGTGCTCCTCAGATGTGGGGTCTGGGTCCCCTTCATAAGCTGTGGCAGTAGTGTTTTCATCAGAGGGTTTCTTGGAGGTTTCCTCAGATTTCTTCTTGCCCTCTCCGCCCTCCTCGTCTTCTTCTTCCTCAGGTTTGGGGAGTGGAGGCTGCTCTTTAGTGTAGGCATCGTAGTAGTTCTTCCAGAATTCATTGTACTGGGCACTTTCATCTTGTTGTTGTCCAAGGTTGGTTCCATAATTTATCTGATATTTTGCTATGAAATCCGTGTCTATCTGTGAAGGAAAAATTGTAGTATTTGAAATATAATGTACTAGCAGAAGCTATATGAAACATAAACTACAAGAGAAATACATGTAGTATAAAGTAATACTAGAAAGTACTAATGAAATGAAGTAATGACAGAAAATATGTGTAGAATAAAGTAATAGCAGGCAACACATATAATAATAATATCAAAGAAATTGTAATAACTGAAAATGTAAAAAAGAAAATTGCTAGACATTTTTAAAAAATTGTTAATCGTAGCTTTATAGCATTAGGAGCTATAATAAATATATTAAACTTGACAAATTGGTGGTTTGTTTATAAACTAAATATGCCATCTGATTTAGTTTATGTTACTGAAATTTTGTTTAAAAATGTGTATTTAACAGTATGAACTTGTACCAATAAATACAATCCTATTACGAAAAAAAAAAGCAAGTATTCCTAGATGAAATAGTATACCTTTGGAAAATAAGCTTTCCTTTCATGATCCCATTCCATCACAGTGCCATCATCATCTGTGTAAGTTATCCCCCTTGTGAGTGCTTCCCCCTCTTCTTTAGCCAGCCTTGCTAACTCTTCCTGTCTTAGCTGCATCTCAAACTCATCCTCCTCTTCAGCCATTGTGTTTAAAGTAGCTCAGCTTGTTTATTTATAAACCTGACTGAAATAGAAATAAAATACTTTACTATGTTACAGAGTAATCACATCATTTTTCAGGCAATAAAAATTGAAACAACCAAGACAAGTATAAAATCAAATTAGACTGCTAAGTTAACAAGCTTAGTAATAATTGCCACTGATGAAAACATAGTACATAGCTCATCTTTTTTTATTAATTATTTACTACTGAAAAGTTTTAATACAATTATTTTAAAATATGTAGATCTGTAACTATAACTGGTCCTGCATAAAACAATTATGTAACATTTAAACATAAATCCTCATAAAGCTGCAAAATAATTAGAATCTAGATTCTAGGTCTTGGTTACCAGTAGTACTTGAGGGCAAGTTGAGGGCCTACCCATTTTTAAATACTTTTTTAATAGCCTAAATTTTAAATTATTGACCAAGGCTATTCCCAGCCGGTTGGGAATAGCCATATTGGGGCTATTCCCAGCCGACTGTGAATAGCCCCAATACGGCTATTCACAGTCGGCTGTCATTTCATGCTAAATACGACTGTGAATAATATCTTACAATAATAAAAGCATTTATTGTAAGTGGGGAGTGAAGTATAGATTAAGATAGCAGTGCCATTTTTATTGTGTTATTTCTTTTTAAAAAGGTTTTAGGGTTAAAGTTTAGTTTAGTTTTTAGGCTCATATCAGACATATTATCTGCTACAGGCTAAGTAAGTCATAGATGATCAATTAAGCACTCTAAATCTATACTAGACTAATAGATCTGGTAATTTTAAAATAAATAATACTAAGCATCAGTTTAGTTGGTTGTTCTCATTGCTATTCAACTATCAATTACCATTAAAAATTCACATTATCACATACAATAAATATAAGGTGAAATAGGATGTCCTTTTTCATCAGCTATAATTCACAGTTTCCATCAAACTTTTGTGTTTTTTCTCTTAGCAAAAATCTACGGGCAGGTCCTTTTTTTTTGTTTGCTGATATGCCAACAATAAGATCTATGCCACAAACGAAAAGAAAAATTAACAAAAGTAACCCTTCCATGAGTAACTAGGAAAAACATTTTCCCAGTAAAAAATTGCGTCAGTAGGGTTTGAACCCGCACCTTTTGGCATGAGAGTAATGAGAGTCACTCCCAATGTCTGCTCATCCACACATCTTCATACTAAAAATAGGGTATTTTTAACATTAAATCTAGCAAAAACGGTCACGACTGTGAATAGCCCTTATAAATACTAATAAATAATAAATAGTAAAATTAAAAATAGGGCTATTCAAATTTTCAAATGTAAGCTAAATTGTGGGCTAAATGGATACTTTTACTTTTAGTCTTTAGATCTAGATGTATAATATCTAGATCTTTTAGTGATTGAGTGGTGAAGATCTAGATCTAAGGGATCTAGATCTATATCTAATATCTAGATACAGTACGCCAGAAGAAAACGTTAAACGTAGTTCAGACGTCCATCGCGTTTGACAGACCTGGGTGGTGACGGTGTCTTGTGTGTTGACTTCCAGTTTTATAAATAAACTAACAGAAATAATCTTATGTATTAATTTATTAAAACTATTATTTGCGCCTAATTAGTCACTCTTATTGTATTATTTGGATGTTAAATTTATACTAAATCTAGATCTAGATCTATAATCAAAATCTGTAGGTCTATTTTCTTACTTTTTATTTTGAACAGGTTTGAAAATGAAAAATATACACTAGCTGATCAGGCTAATAACCGATTACAAAGAAATTTACCATAATGTATGTAAACAGAGACTGACTTGGAAAATATTGCCTTTCCTTAATATTTCTACTATGAGGGATATGTTCTGGAGACAAAGTTAGAAAAAAAAATCAGTTTGCACAACCTATAAGGCACAACAGAAAAGGGGGGGGGGGGGACTTCAAATTTTCGGGAGTGGACTTCGAGGGGCGTTACTCCTTCTCCCAACACTAAAGAGATGGCTGAAAGTCCTTGAATGCTTTCCACTAAGATGTTTCTCAAAACGCTAAAAGAAAAATCCTCATACCCGTGCCCTTGCTTATCCTTCTGTTGGCAATAAACCTAGAATTTAGTGAACATAATGCTTTTCATTTTTTCCCCAAAATTATATACACTAACATGTGTTATCGGGCCTAACACTAACTTTGATGATAAGTCGTCGGTAAATTACTAATTTCACTATATATTATAAAAAAGACCAAAACCATTCCCAAAATGACGTCACATAGCTCGAACCCCACTCCAGACACATACTATAAATAAACTCGGCATATGAAGAGACAGTGTGGTCAGCACTATGCTCAGCCGCCTTTACTTTCCCTAACGTGAAAAATGTACCCATCAAACTGGGTGGACACAGGGAGTGTTTACTGACTTGAACCCGGGTTCGAACTCGAGACTTACGGGTTAGCAGTCCAGCTCAGAGTTTCTTCCAGGCATCTCTTCCGGGGGGGGGGGGGCGAACGAAATGGAATTTATATAGGAAATATATACTTTTGACAGTGTCCGCCCCCCCCCCCCCCCCCCAAAGCCAAAGGCGATTGTTGTCCCCCCCCCCCCCCCCGAAAATTTCAAAAAAGTCTGGAAGAAACACTGGTCTAGCTCTCTACAGCTAGACCACTCCGCCTCCTAGGTAGGAGGAGTGACAATCACACAAAAGCGCCACAATTAGTAGTGTTTCATTCACATATTTTTTCTTCCAAATGGCACTTGAAATTGTTGCAGGGAGACACTGGAAAGTTCCGGCTGGTGGAAAATGGTTAAAGTACATATTTTCTTTATACATTTTTTTTCTATTTAGTCCTGTGGGGGAGGAAGGGGGGGGGTAAGACCTGAAAGAAACATTGTATTTTTTCAAAATACTCACGTCTTTTTCACTTTCTCTGCGCCGTGGGTTTTCTTATTGTTCTTGATCTTAATTTGTGGATTGCATGATATGCCTTGTCTGATATTATTTAATGTTTGCCTGTTTTCCGTAGGGCCTAGTCTTCTAGACCTTTTCCGAATTTCTTGACCCACATTGTTCTGTCTTCTCCCATATTGAATTGTTAACTACTTTATCAACCCAGTTTTAAATTAAATATTTGAGTACAATAAAACACATTTTAAAAAGAGTTGAAGTTTTTTTTTTAAATCGTGTCATCATCTATTCCCTATTGAGCTCAAGACACATTGGGCCGTAAAAGAGTTTTTTTTCTCTACTTTTGCCGGTCTCTGCAGCTTTTTCTTGGCAGTCCTAAAGGATGGTCCCGCAATTTGTCAGTTTATTTCTAATGAGTGCCTCCACGTCTTCCCTTCTTTTTTTTCCCAGAGGCGTTAATGTATTCCTGTAATGTCATTTGGGTGAATTCTTAACATGGGCCTCATCCAGAACCATCTTCTTTGGATAATTTAGGAAGTTGCTGCTTCTATTTCCATTTCTACCATTAGAGATAATGTTGAACCTGTTGATGTCTTTTATCATTCAAACTTAGTTTGGAATAAGTCCAGTAATCTGCTGGTGACGATTAATTGTTACTTCCCAGCATTCGAAGCCGGTTCCCAGAAAGAACCGCAACGGAAAAAAGCGCAACGGAAAAAAGCGCAAAACAAAAAGCGCAACGGAAAAAAGCGCACACGGAAAAAAGCGCAAAGAGAAAAAAGCGCACACAGAAAAAAGCGCAAAGAGAAAAAAGCGCAAACAGAAAAAAGCGCAAAGAGAAAAAAGCGCACACAGAAAAAAGCGCAAAGAGAAAAAAGCGCAAACGGAAAAAAGCGCAAAGAGAAAAAAGCGCACACGGAAAAAAGCGCAAAGAGAAAAAAGCGCACACAGAAAAAAGCGCAAAGAGAAAAAAGCGCAAACGGAAAAAAGCGCAAAGAGAAAAAAGCGCACACGGAAAAAAGCGCAAACGGAAAAAAGCGCAAACGGAAAAAAGCGCAAACAGAAAAAAGCGCAAACGGAAAAAAGCGCAAAGAGAAAAAAGCGCACACAGAAAAAAGCGCAAACAGAAAAAAGCGCAAACGGAAAAAAGCGCACACAGAAAAAAGCGCAAACGGAAAAAAACGCAAACTGAAAAAAGCGCAACCACAAAAAGCGCAACGGAAAAAAGCGCAAAAAAAAACGCAAACAGAAAAAAGCACACACAGAAAACTGTGCACACCGAAAAATGCACAAAGAGCCATTTTCGCACAAAGACCTATAAGGACTAGATGACACATTTATACATGATTGTTAGGGCTGCTGTGAGAGTGTTGTGTTTGCATTCTATAACAACCCGTTTCTATCGCAAAACTTCACTCTCTTTCTTCCGAGTCATCAAACATGCATTCGCTATATCTCTCGCACCAACATTCATTCGCACAAAAATACCCTGATAAAATACACATCATAATCATTATGTATTTAATATTATTTTATCATGATGTACCTATATCTACCTACCTACCTACCTTCCTACCTACCTACCTACCTACCTACCTACCTACCCACCTACCTACCTACCTACCTACCTACCTACCTACCTACCTACCTACCTACCTACCTACCTACCTACCTACCTACCTACCTACCTACCTACCTACCTACCTACCTACCTACCTACCTACCTACCTACCTACCTACCTACCTACCTACCTACCTACCTACTTACCTACCCAATATATATATATATATATATATATATATATATATATATATATATATATATATATATATATATATATATATATATATATATATATATATATATATATACGGGTAGGTAGGTGGGTTAGTTGGTGGGTTCGTGGGTAGGTAGATTTTTTGGTGGTGTGTGGGAAGATGTGTGTGTGAGTAATTAGGTGGTTGGGTGTTTGCGTAGAAGAGAGTTTTATCCAGACATCAGTTCGGGTTTGGGGGGGGGGGGGGTCTCGGCCCGAAGAGTCTACCGTCTACCCCCACCCCCCCTTCCCCCCGAACGAAATGGAATTTATACTTTTAGATTATGCACATTTCCTACTGAGCCAATAGAGCACTACATCAAATAGTTAATCAGTTTAACAATGTAGACACCATTGAAGTAGGTCCGAGACAAAGCCTGGTGTTATAATAAAACTACATCTCTCTTTGTCCATTATGCTGTTCAACACATGCTTTGATTGGTGTTAGGATTGTTACATATAAGTATTTGCGTAGATTTAGAGTAGCGTCCTATTTGTTTACATGTTTTCATTACCCTTCAAACTATAGTCTATTTTAGTTATATTGAGATTAAAGAATGTAAATAAATAGTACAAACAATTATGTAGCATAGAAATGATTGGTATGGAAGTGACTTAACGCGCAGAAAAAATAGAGGTTAGGTAGGGAATAAAAGGTGGGGTTAGGAAAGTTTGGGGGTCCATTCTCTAATAGGCAGTCTATGTCTCGTTCGTACTTTCAAACAATAAAGACGTTAATTGTATACAGACTTCGTGTTGGTTAATTGTTGACCCTGTCCTCACCTCACATCACAACAGTTGGGTGACGCTTACCTTGTCATGTTAAAATAAGTAGCATGTAATTGATTTAGTTCGAAGTGAATTTTCATACAAGCCCAACGCACTAATTAAGGCTGTCGCAAAAGATATAACATATGTCAATGAATTTTCATTAAAAAAAATGATATCTCGTGCAGTTTACGAAACTAACGACCATCGCCCATACTTTTCTTTTTCCGCGCGCCAGATTTGAATACATGTTTAGTGTTCATACTGACAGAAGAAAACGCTTTCATTCCATTGTTTGTGTTACAATTCTTTTAGAATACACGGCTGTTTTTCCATTCTCTTTTTGGTGAGGCCTAGTATATTCACATCATACATGACCTACTTTTCTTACTATATACTTAGTGTAGTCTACAGAGTTAGTGTTTTTAGTATTCACAAATAATATTCATTCTCAGCTTAAATGTTATAAAAATGTTATGATTATGATGTGTGTTTTATCAGGATATTTTTGTGCGAATTAATGTTGGTGCGAGAGATATAGCGAATGCATGTTTGATGACTCGGAAGAAAGAGAGTGAAGTTTTGCGATAGAAACGGGTTGTTATAGAATGCAAGCTTGGGACTAGGGAGCATGTACGAGATACTCCGTGTAATGCCAATATAAAGGATAGTTTTATGTTCATTTATTCGAGAATAGTCGTTGAATAAATAGTGAACAAGAAAAAAGTAGACGTTGTGTCAAGCGATTATCGCCTGTATCGTGGTGATGTGAATGCACATGGTAGTGGTATGCTTTAAGTGGTAGTATATCGCGTCAGGTCAAACACAACACTCTCACAGCAGCCCTAACAATCATGTATAAATGTGTCAACTATTCCTTATAGGTCTTTGTGCGAAAGTGACTCTTTGTGCATTTTTCGGTGTGCACAGTTTTCTGTGTGTGCTTTTTTCTGTTTGCGTTTTTTTCTTTTTTTGCGCTTTTTTCTGTTGCGCTTTTTGTCGTTGCGCTTTTTTCAGTTTGCGTTTTTTTCCGTTTGCGCTTTTTTCTGTGTGCGCTTTTTCCCGTTTGCGCTTTTTTCTGTTTGCGCTTTTTTCTGTGTGCGCTTTTTTCTCTTTGCGCTTTTTTCCGTTTGCGCTTTTTACTGTTTGCGCTTTTTTCCGTTTGCGCTTTTTTCCGTTTGCGCTTTTTTCCGTGTGCGCTTTTTTCTCTTTGCGCTTTTTTCCGTTTGCGCTTTTTTCTCTTTGCGCTTTTTTCCGTTTACGCTTTTTTCTCTTTGCGCTTTTTTCTGTGTGCGCTTTTTTCTCTTTGCGCTTTTTTCCGTGTGCGCTTTTTTCTCTTTGCGCTTTTTTCCGTTTGCGCTTTTTTCTGTTTGCGCTTTTTTCTGTGTGCGCTTTTTTCTCTTTGCGCTTTTTTCTGTTTGCGCTTTTTTCTCTTTGCGCTTTTTTCTGTGTGCGCTTTTTTCTCTTTGCGCTTTTTTCCGTGTGCGCTTTTTTCCGTTGCGCTTTTTGTTTTGCGCTTTTTTCCGTTGCGCTTTTTTCCGTTGCGGTTCTTTCCGGCCACCTTCGAAGCCATACAGTAGGACGCTAAGGTAATTGCTTTTGATGTCTGCATGTGGTCTTGGAAGAGATTTTTTCGATCGCCATATTTTTGCATAGTGGAAAAGGCATCTTGCTTTACTTTAAAGATGTATGTTTAAATTTCAGTGGTGCAATGTCCTTCATAATTGACAATGATGCATAAATATGTAAACTATTTTACTTCGTCCCCACTTGTCTGTTGTTTATTTTAATAGACTGTTGGTTATTTGTATTTTATTTCATAATGTGTAATATTTAATTAATTTGAGTCCGTTTGCAAAAGAAATAAGTCTGTTCAGTTTTCTTTTTTTGACTACTAAATAGTAGAGTTAGGTCGTCTGCAAAAAAATCGCAATTCTAATTTGTTTTTGTATCTTATTTTAATTGTTAAAATTAAAATTAGACATCGCATGCGTCGTACACATTTGCTCTTCACCCGGTCACTGAAAACCATGTTTATATATTAGGCTATAGTTGTTTGAAAGTATCCTTTTAAAACTGCTAAAGCAAAATGCAATAAACTGCAATTTAAAAAATCCGGTAACGGTAAATCCAACAGAGTAACAAAAAAAAATCTGCATACTATAATGGAAAACAAAGTATGCAAATGTTGCTTTTATCATTTCCTTTCGATTTCGATTTAGAATGAATATGAAGCCGCCCATTGAGAGTGTACGGATTGATATTGACAATTGGATCAAAAGCGAAACTTAAGTTGTTTTTTTTTTGGATCTTAGGATGCCCATTTTTATTAGCTATTCCCACACTGTAAGTTCTGTACAATTTAACTTTCAAAACATTTTTCTCTTTTACCCAGGTTTTACTTTTTATTTAAGATTATAGAAAGGACCTAATTATCGGATTAAGCTTTTAATGGCTTGAAATAAATTATTTTAAATTATTCAAGTTCTATTTCTCTAAATAGTATAGATCTACGTAAAGAATTTTATGAGGTACAACTTATTTACAATGCTAGTGTACGAATAGTACAAGCTAAAAATGGCGTCCCTGTTTAAGAAACCCAGACGGAACTTCAGAAGAAAAGGTGGCGAATTGGATTCAGATAAAGAAGATGAGTCTAAAGAAGAGAAAATGGATACTAGCGAAAATCAGCCTCTTTCATTTAAACCAGACGCCGAGAAAAAGAAAAAACAAAAACCCAAAGAGAAAGAAAAAGATTCTTCCACCAAAACAGTTCTTAGCTTTGAAATGGAAGAGGATGATGGTGAGTTAGAAATCTAAATCTAGATATTTGGCAGTACAACTGGGTATTTTAGGCAACTCATTTTACTTAAATATAACAACCTTTTATGGGGGTCGGCGTGGTCGAGTCGGTAAAGCTCATGGTTGCTAAACCGAAAAATCTCGAGTTCGAACCCTCGTGCAGATGAGGCTCGTTTGCTGGGGACAGCCACTCTTTTAGGAGAGTAAACTCCAAAATCAAACAACTGCTGTCTTGTAGTTTGTTCTTGGTTGGACAAAGGCTATGGAAGCAAATCCAAAATGAAAAGCAGGCTGAAATCGGAGTCAAAGGCCTCAATGGCGCATAACCAGTTGACACGTATCCTTAATTGTTATGGAGGCGTGGTCGAGTTACCTAAAGCTAATGGTTGATAAATTCAAAAAAGTCTTGAGTTCAAACCCTCTGGCAGATATGGCTCGATCCCTTCCAACACTCAATTAAGAACGAAGAAGAAGAAGACAACCTCTTATGACCATAAATATATAATTTAGGCCGATGCTAGCTGGAAAAAGATACAAATGCGCAAATGATGTTTTTGATGGTACTACGCATGCATGTGTTTACAACCGCAGAACCCCAACCCTAACCCTAATCTTATCCCTAACCTTAATGAACCTAACCCTATCCCTAACCCTAGCCATAGGTCACCACGCATGCGCAGAACTATCTTTTGCCGACTAAGTGGAGACAGGGAGAAAAAATCTTTTTCTGAGTAGTCACTTCATATAATTTAACTTACCCATATTTTATTCTAGCTGATACAGAGGTGTTTAAAATTAAGAAGTCCAGCCACAGTCGTCGCATAGCAAAACAGATGAAAAAGGAGAAAAAAGGAAAAGATCAAGGAGATGACTGGAATGGGCATAATCTAGATGATGATGAATATGAAGACAGAGTGGATAAAAATAATGAAGATATGATATGTCGGAGGAGGCAAGAAGAGGAAGAAGAAGCAGAAGAAAAAATTAGAGTAAGTACTAAGTAGGCTATTAGTATTGCTCGTTAACCTGGAGGCGGGACCGGTTGCTAACAATAATATGGCGGACACATGACTTCTGATGGTTTTTTCGTCTTAGTTCCAGTGACCTTCTTAGAATTACTTTAAAAAAGTTTTGATCATGAGCAAAGTGACATGTTTTTGCCATATAATTACAAACTATAGGTGGCAGGGCTATGTATGCCAGAATAGCATTTTAAAATTTGGTTTGGAGATCAGAATGAGAGCTAAATTTAAAAGTTGGTTTCATTTAAAATCAATTTCAATAGAACTTTTAAAATATAAACCGAGTAGGTACTAAAATGAGCAAATATGTGAAGCATCATTAGTTTTATCAGTTTATGAAGGAAGAAACAAAATATTGTGAGCCGTGTTTTACAAGACCAGCGCTCATATCACAAACAGTTTCTTTTTATTTAAAAAAAAAAAACCATGTGACCCCATTCGGTTGATTACTAGTGAGGAACTCAGTGGTGCATAGTCAATTACAAAGTCGAACCAATTCATGGTTTGCCATGGCTTTCAAACATAAGAGTGATAAAACATGGTTGTAATGGAAAGGTGTGTCATGCCATGGCAGTCAGTGACAATAAATATTAAATTAAGTAATTTTGTTTAAAATGAACTAAAAACATCAAAATTATTGCCTAATGGATTAAATATGGATGTCTTTTATTCAGTGGTCATGTTTAAATTGAAAATTGGTAAATTTTAAATTTAGCAAAAATATCTAGTATTTAGGCCTATTTTGTTGAATTGATCTCTAGACTTATATCTTAAGTTGTACAACAGTGTAAGTTGTATCAATTCTTCAGCTCAATAAAAAAAAAAACCTAGATGCTAACCTTAGATAGTATTAATAGGTACCCTTATTGAACTTCCTTCTAACAATTTCTGGGCTTAATATTTTTAGTAGCTAGAACATAAACTTAGATTGTGTGAAACGTTTTAGTTTTTCAAAATGCGGGGTATCTTCTTCAACTACATATTTCTGGCAAACAGATAGTCTCACAACAAATTTTATGATTATTTCTTTTGAGATATATAGAGTTATCAAAAGTCAGGCAAATTTTGAGACTTTGCAGAAATAATTAACTTCTTTTTCAGAAATTGCGTGAGGAATTTCGGACTTTAAATGGAGAAGAAGCAGAAGATTTAGATGACAGCGATGATGATGGCCAAAAAACTTTTAAAGCAATGCTAGCTAGTAAGTGTTACCTTTTAAATAAAATGAAATATGTTATAAAACATTACATTTTCCAAATTACATAAGGCTAAGGTGTTAAATAAATTGTTGATTTGTTTCTTTGCTGTTTAGTGAAATAGTTTTGTAAATGCTCTAAATTTTTGCTGTGCCATATAATATATTGAACCCCTTAATAAATTAGCATTTTGAAATTAATGTCTCATGAATTTTGATTTTTCTTCTAGGAGGAGAAATCCCGGATGCCAAGACAATCCATTTTATTCGCAAACAGCGTCAGATGGCAAGAGAAACAGACAGCTTTATTCCATTGGACGAGTCAGAAGTGAAGTCTAATAAATCAACAGCTCGACTTGTTAGGTGACTTGCTTTTTTATATGGCACAACTAAACTTTGGATTCTACCCATATCATTCAATTTTTAAAATGTACTTGTAATTTTGAGGTAATTTTCAGTATCGCTCAGATGTGCCTAGTGTTAAAACATGTTTTGGTTTTTGAAAATCTATATACATTATATTTATACCTATAGTTATCTATATGAACTCATTGTTCAAAATTTGTTAATTTTAAAAAGTCGCTGAACAGTGTTATATTTCTTTAGTACCTAAGCAGCCATGTTTTTTTGTGAAACTATTGAAAAGATAAAACGACCAAGAAAACAGTTAAAGCCAAGAATCTATTAAAAGAAAAATGTCTTGATAGCTTACTTTTTATGTATTATGATGTTCTTTTTCTTAATATATATATGTAAAATGTACTTTTTAAACATTCAGAGATGATGACAATGATAAAAGTGATGATGAGGAAGATGAGAGGGTAGACTTTGCAGTGGATAAAGCAGCAAGAGAGAGGCAACAGATGAGGGATGATTTCTTGGCTGCTGAACATGGTAAGCCTTTCTAATCTAACAGTTGTTTTGTTGTAATGTTTATTTTACATAGTCGACCTATATCATTTTCATATTACATGGCTCAGCTCTCTAATCTAATCTTTCTAATCTAGCAACATTTTTGTTGTTAATGTTATTTTACATAGTGTATCTTTCTAATCAAACTATTGTTTCATTGTAATGTTTATATTAATAATTTTATCCATGTTTTTTATTTTTTTCACTAATCTCACAGTTGTTTTACACCTGGATTTTTTACAGGTAGTGATGATGACAGTGATCAGGAACGAGAATGGGAAAACCAGCAGATACGAAAAGCTGTTAGCCTTCAGGTAAAATTGGATTAAAGCTGTCATTCACTTTTTTTTACCGATTAAACAAAAAAACTTAACCAATACTAACTATCGCTGTGATTATCCTGATTAAATTCAACAACAAAAATGTTTGCTAACATTTTTTATTCTGATGCAAATTAAACATTAAATTTAACTGACAGTCACCTTCAGATATTTCCCTGCATATTTCAGATCCCAGGTGTAGATGTGCCCACAGTTTCCAACGATGGCTCCACGTCTACAGGAGTAAATTTCTACTCCCTATCATCCAGCATCCGCGTGTCCCCCACCTCCACACTGAGGCCAGATGAGCTGAAGCCCTTTTCTGCTCTCTCCAAATCTCAGAACATCTCAGATATAACCATTGAATCAGTTAGAAAACGCTTGGAAGAACGGTAAGGTCTTTGCTTTGATATCCTCAATGATATCCACAACTCAAAAAAGGAGACGGCAGTGATTACTTAGGCAATGTTTAAATTTTTACACCACACAGTATCATAAAAATTAGTGCTGTGTGTTTGAATCATGTCATGTTATTTATGGAATGTTACTGTTTTCCTTACAATATTTAAGATGGAAATAAATTGCATTCAACACTCTTAAAACTATACAAGAAATGGAAAAAAAATCTTTTGATATTTAATAAATTTTGGCTAATTGATACATTTTTATTTTTTACAATTATAATTTTTAGAGAAAAAACTGAACATAACTTTAACATTACCAATTTTAAAAATTCGATTCTTTATGATGTTAACTCAATACTAGTGGTTTAAAAATAAGTTTAAGGATAGATTTGTTCATATTCTTGCATGAATTGTTACAGTTGCAAGAAAATGGCTGTTTAAAAATTAGTATTATTGAGAAAACATGGATGTTGTAAGATTCCTTTTTTTTCTGTTTAGGAAACATTTTTTATTGGAAAAAAATTATTTAGTATTTAAATATGTTTTAATTTATACTGATTTAGCTGAAAAGGGTATTTATAATTTTGTATTAATAATTGTGTTTAGAAAGTATATTTTTGTACTAAAAAACTATGGGAAAGTTTCACTGAAGAATGTAATGGTGTGTATGATATATGCCACTGTTAACAACTGACTGTGGTCGAACTTATCATAGCTAGAACAACTGACTGGGGTAGAATTTGTCATAAATAGAACTTGTCATAAATAAAGCTTGTCATAGTTAGAACAACTGACTGGGGTAGAATTTGTCATAAATAGAACTTGTCATAACTAGAACAACTGACTGGAGTCAAACTTGTCATAGCTAGAACAACTGACTGGTGTAGAATTTGTCATAGCTAGAAGAACTGACTGGGTAGAACGTGTCATAATTGGGAAAACAGACTGGTTAGAACTTATACAAGAACAACAGCCTGGGGTAGAATTTGTCATAACTGAAACTATGACTGGCTTGTAATAACTGGGACTACTGACTGACATAGAACTTGGGTTTATGCTTCTTCACTTCCCTTTCAGCCTCACCACAATGGACACTGTGTATAGAGGCCACAAGCTAGAACTGGACAAAACTTTGTCCAATATCGAAGATGCTAAAGATAGCATCGAGTCATGTGAGCAAAGGGCGCCAGACTTGGAAAAACGCTTTCAGTTTTTCCAGGAATTGAGGGGGTATGTGCGAGACTTGGTAGAATGCCTAAACGAGAAGGTATGTGTCCCTCCTCCTTTTTGTTGTTTGCCTCATTCTCATGTGTAGGTTACATCTCTCTGTTTTCTCAGTGAATGATATTGAGAGATGGTCAAGTCAGGGTTCTTACAGAGAGCTATTTACATCTGGCAATTTTTTTTTTCAATCTTTAACTAAATTTTATATGTTTAGATGGCCAGCTTTTTTATAAATTAGTTGAACAATTAATATGAATTTAAAGTTTAAATTTTTTTTCCCTTATAAAAAAATATTTTGTACAAAATTTAATTTAAAACATGCATTTTTTAAGGTTTTAAAAATTTGGCTTTGCATAATTTCAAACTGCAAATGTTTTTTGTTTAGGAAAATTTTTACTATAAACTGTGTTTTTCTGTTAAATAAGCTAAATAGTCAACAGCATTGTTTATTTTTGTTAATGTTTTAAGGTTGACATTTTTGTTTAAAGTTGTTTTTTAACTCTTACAAAAGGTGTTTTAAGGTAAAATAGTGTTTCTTTTTACTCAAAGTACACATAATCAACTAAAATAATAAACTGTTGATACAAAAGATGTGACATTAAAAGATCTGCAGTGGGAGATTGTCAGATTTAGTCCATACAGCCTTAGGGGTATAAATATAAATAATTCTTTTTTCTGATTCACCTTTTTCCATACAGCCTTAGGGGTATAAATATAAATAATTCTTTTTTCTGATTCACCTTTTTCCATACAGCCTTAGGGGTATAAATATAAATAATTCTTTTTTCTGATTCACCTTTTTCAACCCTAGTATTTCATCATACAAAGCACTTATTATAAACACAAAACAGTACACGCTTTGAACACAAAACCAGAGTATATTAGTCAAAAACATAAATTATTGAAGTTAGTTATTTTTAAAAAAATAAGTTGAGCTAGCATGGAGTTTAATTCTTAAGGGCAGATTTGTAGTTTTTTTTAAAAGAGACTAAGCACCAGACTTACAGAGTCTGATGCTGACATAACATTTTTGGCAAATATTTATTGTGCAGAGATGAACATAAGACAATATAAAAATCAAGGTGAATACTTAAAACCTGATTTAGTTGTACTGACAGGTTATGGATCTGTTTATGTATATCTAGAAGCAGACCTTAAGACATTGAAACCCCCTTAAAACACTTTTGTGGTCACTCAATTTTTTTTATCTTAATTCAATTCTGTATGAAAATAATTCTTTACATTCCATTATCAATTTTCACAATCATCTCAAATAATACATATTTTAATGAAAGTTTATGAAGTTTAGGTACATGGCAAAAAAATACCTAGCACTAGAAAATCAAAACAAAAAGTCAGTTTAGACTATAAGAATAGTATAAGTTATATAATAATATGTTTTTGCTTAATTATTTATTTTAACAATTTTTTTCTGTTTTAAACTTTTGAGATTTGAATAATCCTGTATGAACCCTGATTAGATTAAGATCAAGTTTACAAAGCATGGCTCAGAAAGCAGACATAAATTGTAAAATTTGATTACATGGAGGGACAACCCTTCTTGTAAGGGCAATGTTACTTTGTAAAACAAATTGCTGATATATTAGGGGCCATGCTATGTTGTAGTTGCTTTAAAAATTGTAGTTGTCATCCTTGCGCCATGTTTTACTTGCTGTTTTATTTCAGATTATGAACAAGAACTGTTTATGTTCAATTAAACCAAACTTTTAGCTAGATCTTTTCAATAGAAGTTTTAAAGTAACTGATAACTTAAATAAAGTAAAAGTCAAGTTTAGTTTTTTCATTAGATCAGCTGGGATAAGGTATGAGTAGTTGGCTACAGGACATTACCCCCCTGTATATTTCCCCCCCGTATTTACCCCCCCGGAGCAATTACCCCCCTGTCAATTACCCCCCTGTCAATTACCCCCCCCCCCCCCCCGGGGAATTACCCCCCCCCCCCCCCCCCCCCCCCCCTCTCAAGTTAAAATCCTAACTCTAACTAGAATTTTATACCTATATACTACTTTAATCCAAACCTTAAGAAAAAGACCAAAACCTAAGCATCCACCTTAGCCTAAAACTTCACACAAAACCAAAACCAAAGCTAGACACAACCCTAACCCTAAAACTAGCTCTAACCCTAACCCTAATCCTAACCCTAACCCTATCCCTAGCCCTAAACCTAGCCCTAACCCTAACCCTAACCCTAACCCTAGCCCTAACCCTAAAACCTAACCCTAACCCTAACCCTAGCCCTAAAACCTAACCCTAACCCTAAACCTAGCCCTAACCCTAAAACCTAACCCTAACCCTAACCCTAACCCTAACCCTAACCCTAGCCCTAACCCTAGCCCTAGCCCTAAACCTAACCCTAACCCTAACCCTAAACCTAGCCCTAACCCTAACCCTAACCCTAACTCTAACCCTGTCCGGGGGGGGGGGGGGTAATGTCCTACTGGGCGGGGGGTAATTGACAGGGGGGTAATTGACAGGGGGGGTAATGTCGGGGGGGAAATATCCGGGGGGTAATTGACAGGGGGGAAATACCCTGTTCCCTGAGTAGTTATAAAGGCCTTTGTAATATTTAATGGTTTTGAAAACAATGAACAAAAAAATGTAAAAAAAAATTTTGTTATTACATAAAAAAATTATAAACTCATTACAGAAACAAGGGGACAAAAGATCAAGCTAAATAAAAGATTCACTCTTTTATTTTAACTCACTTTTTAAAACTATGTAAATAAACCGGGAGTGATCTCCTCTAAACTTTCTCGAATATTCTTATATAAAACAACAGGGGATGGGAACTCGGGCTATAGACATGATTTTTGATCCATTTTAAATACTTAAAGTTTTAAAAGTAGAATAAAATCTCGTAGACAAAAGAATTTCACACCAAGTGAACGCCAATAAAAAAAATGCATAATAGTGCGCAATATTATTAGTACTTTAAAAATTTAAATTTGTTTTTGAGAAATCAGAAGTAGCATAAATTACTACTTCCTGTCAATGGAAATTACTCAAAATTTAACAGAAGGTAGAGAATTAGATCTTTTACTTACATGTGAAATTTCATTTATCTATCTGAAATAGTACTCAAGTTATAGAATTTTGAAAAATTCAAAGTAGAAAAAGTACCACTTCCGGTTATCGGAAATCGCTCAAAAGTTGATACGGATCTACGATTTTGATTAAATACTTATATATGAAATTTCATCAACCTAGCTATAACGGTACTCAAGTTATTGTGTTTACACACTGACAGACAGACAGACACACACACAGACATATGGACAGAATTGCTAAGCCCAGTTTTTCAGACTGGATTACGCATAAAACCTCTTAATTTTGATAAATCTGGATTGATAATTTTTGCCCGATTAAAATAAGTCCTCTATACTTCAGATGTGATGAAGGACTGAGGTGTAATACGGTGAAAATTGTAAAAATTTCAAGCGATTTTTTTGTGCACGATTACAATACTTTCTCTATACTTCGTATATATGAGAAAGTAAAAATGTTCATTAAGTTAGCTCATCTACTTTCTTTCAGGTTCCTGCAATTAATGAAATGGAACAACGTGTGTGTAACCTGCTCAAGTCTCGCACTGAGAGGCTGATCAAGCGCAGGCAGTTGGATGTACAAGATCAATGTCGAGAGTACATGACAAGTCGGTATTTATCATTTTATTTTGATGGGATCCCATGGTTGTTTTTTAATTGGCAACTTACCCTAAATTTTTTTTGTTTCTATGACCATATTATATTAAAAAAGTTTGGTTTTATCAATGTGCACTTAAATGTAAGACCAACCTTCGCTGAATGTTAAAATGTGCATTGGGTTATTTCCTGCCCTGCTAGTGTTGTTGTTTAGTTGGGATTATTTAGTTTTTGAAGACAGCATTAACTAATGCAAGATGTAATTAAACGTACTGTACTGGTTTTTGTTATATAAGATAAAAAAAAGTTCTGCTCAACTAAATGCTTAAACATTGTACTTGACATTTCACATTGATAAATATCATTGTGTAAATTCAGTGTATACTAGTAGATATTTACCTAAGTTTGATACCATTGGTGCATTGTTGGAAAAAACTTGATATATATTTGCATCCTGGATTAAAGTAAATAAACAAAATGTGTTGAAATTAAATATAATTATTAATTCATTACTTATAATAAGTTGTATTATGTTAAATTATTTAGTAAAAAACAGGTGAGTAAAGTTTTTAGAAGATTTTTATTATTGATTTTACTCATTATGATAGAAATCTGCTATATATATATATATATAAATATATATATCACTGCTCTGGAGCCAGATAGTTCTAACTTAAATTTTTCTTTAAATGTTCACAACAGGCTTTTGAAGTTATGTGGCTTTATTATTTTTATGTTAAAAGTGGTAATAGATCCAGAACAAAAAGGGTGTATAATTCTTGAAAGAAAAATGTAGTTAGAACAGTCTGGCTATGGAGCAGCAATATATAAATAACAAAAATGATATAGTTAATAAAGAGTGTAAAGAAAGTTGTTTACATTTTTTCTGATATAATGTTAGTTTGAGCCACTGTTGATAAGGTAACACGTGCTAATGGCATTGTATAATTCTTGAAAGAAAAATGTAGTTAGAACAGTCTGGCTATGGAGCAGCAATATATAAATAACAAAAATGATATAGTTAATAAAGAGTGTAAAGAAAGTTGTTTACATTTTTTCTGATATAATGTTAGTTTGAGCCACTGTTGATAAGGTAACACGTGCTATTGGCATTGTTTACACTTTTAGATGCCAGCGTCAAGTTGGATGTGGAGGCTAAAGAAGAGCAAGTCAGACAGAGGAGAGCTGCAGAGAGGGAGGCTCGTAGGTAGGTCAACAGTACTGTAGTTAACTTTATCACAGTATATCTGGCCTGGAGCTGTAAACATCAGTTCTCCCCATAGGATATAATGACTGTGCATTAGATTTAAAATATACTATCATCAGATTCTAAATCAAGCCTCTAGCCAGTAGTTCTCACTTTAGATCTTATCTTACATTTGTGTACATGTCTTACTTTGTGCACGAACTTTAAAAATTTGTTATTGTTAGATTCTAAACCAGGCCTATAGTTGTAGCCAGTAGTTCTCCCCATACAATCTAATAACTTACTTTGTGTACTAACTTTAAAAATGTATTATTGTTAGATTCTAAATCAGGCCTATAGTTGTAGCCAGTATTTCTCCCTATAGAATCTAATAACTTACTTTGTGCACTAACTTTGAAAATGTTCTGTTATCAGATCCCGACGTCGCAGGGTGAGAGAAACAAAGAACATTGTAGGACATCATGATGGTCTGTCATCTGATGATGAGGAAAGTAGCCCATCTGTTATGGTTAAATTTAAATCTGAAATGGGTAGGAGATTTTGCTTTGCTATTTAGATAAAATATTTTTTCTATTTTAGATCCCAGTTTTCTTTCCCTCAGTGTCCATTTAGTTAATGTCCCTTATTTTCCTGCCTATTTATTTTCATTACTACCGTGTTAAATGCTCAGACTATTTTGTTATACAAGTTCTTTATATTTATCGTTTATATAGTTTTATTTAAAAATATAAACTTAAATATTTGGTAGACACATTAATAAAACATTTTCTTGCAATTGCTTTTTGAATAAAACAGAGGAAATCTCCAAGGCTCGCTCCAGCCTGTTTGAAGATGTATTGGATGAGTTCTCTGACATTGAGTACATCAAGGAACAGTTTGAGAGCTGGAAGTTTACCTATGGGGACACCTACAGAGAAGCCTACATAGGACTTTGTTTACCTAAGCTGTTAAATCCCTTTATTAGAAAAGAGCTTTTGTTTTGGAACCCGCTAGACGTAAGACCTTAAAAACATTTGAAGAAGTGATAAATTTACACTTTAATTAATAAATGAATCCAGAATTCTGGAAGCTGTTTTGCTTGAAATATAACTGTTGATATGTGATAATCTGATCAGGAAAACTGTAGTGATTTTGAGGACAGCAGATGGTTCAATTCGTTGGTGTTCCTGGGCTACAGAGAAGGGGAAGAGTTGAATAAATCTGACGATGACCTACGACTTTTACCCTCTGTCATTGAAAAATTAATATTGCCCAAGTTAACGTGTAAGTTATTACCAGCTTAGCAGGAATGTTTATGTAGTTTTACTTAAACTTGCAATTTTTTATCTAAATATACGCTACACTAGTCGCTTGTTTAGTTGTTTAGTTTTTTGTACTTTAATTATTTCTCTTTTTGTTTTAGTTTTGGTAGAGAACGTTTGGGACCCCCTCTCCACCACACAGACAGCCAGACTTGTGAACTTGACATCTAAGCTGGTCAGAGACTACCCCACAGTTCATGCTCACAACAAGCACTTTAAGGTCAGTTGTCCACAATTTTGTTCAGTTGTCTTTTAATTCAATCCCAGTTAGCTTCTCTTTAAACTTTAATATCTTTTACCTCAGCCATCTCAATATATGACCTATTTATAAAAAGTGTTTTTATAAACTTAATCTTCATCGCTCACTGTAGAGCATAAGTCAGCAACAAAGCTCTATTATGCCTCCCTGATCTGGGCGAGACAACTGAGTTCATGCCAGGTCTTGCCTGTTGCTAGCCCATCTTCTTTCTCTCTACTCCTTGTTCCCCTATTTCATTATCAAGGTGGATTTCTTTACAATGTTGATTAAAACAACCAACATTATTTGACAGTTTTGCAATGACATTTTGACTATAAATAAACTTTTTGTTGAATCATATTTTTACCATGTTACTGAATATCAGTCTTGTTATATTATAAAATATCTTTGTTTAACACTACCCAACAAGTGCTGTATTTAATGAACAGTGCTAGCAGTGTTGTAAATATAGAATTTTTAAATCTGTCATCAAACAATGCTTAGCCAAACATGTTATAATTGTGTACATGTTTCAGATGTACCTTGAAGCTGTTGTGTCAAGATTAAAGAAAACCCTTGATGATGATGTTTTTATGCCCATGTATCCCTTAAGGTAAGTTAATCTTTTTGTGTTTCTAAAGGAGTCCGCTGAGAAGGTTTCTCTTTTAAGTAAACTATAGTGTTTCTTTTTTATGCCTCTGACAATGTCAAGCAAATGAACTTATGAGTTCACGTTTTAATGGCCTCTGCTAGAAAGAGATACTGGGTGATTCTATGCACAGCAGCCTTTAGTTTCCATAATGTGAGAAATGGGTGAACACAAGTACATCCTAACTAGGATACAGAATCCTGAACTAGTTTTTTAGGGTTTAAGTTATCCATTGTACAAGCTGCTGTCCCACCAAACCATTATATTTCTCTATAAGAGAAAACATGGTTTATAATTAAGTAAGGTCTGTTTAAGTTGTTATCAATTATGATAATTGAAAAACCTACATGAGACTTATATAGATTGGATTAAATTGATGATTAAAAGTAATAAAACATTGTTTTTACTCCAGTGTGTTAGACAACAGATCCTCTGGTCCAGCTATTTTCTTTCATCGCCAGTCTTGGACATGTATCAAGGTAAAAGACAAGAAACTTAATCTTTTATTGTTTTAAAAATTTGGGGATCTTTATTGCTTGTTCTTACAGAAAGTTGCAATATAATGTTAAGGGTTTTACCTGAAATGATGTCATGTTATTGTAGCATATTTTTACCCCTACCCGGTATCTATTTATCAAGGCAGCTGGCCTGTAAAATATTATCACTGAGATCTACCACTTCAATCATTCTAACATAATTTACAAGGTTTTCATCTTTTTTGTCCTTAACTTCTAAAGATGCTTCAATCTAAATATATAATTCTCTTCTGGGAGCCGTTAGAAAACAAGCTGCAAACGCGCCTTGCAATCCCCTCTCTTCCTCTCTGTCGCTACCGCTGTGGTTCAGGCTAAATAAATGTTTACATTTTACAATCGTAGAGCCGGGTTCGGTGACGGCTATTAGGGGCAGATAATTTAGTTTGAAACGATTTTAAACTTAGAGGAGGTAACTAAGAGAAGGCTGCTTTCACGGGGGGGGGGGGGGGGGGGGTGAAGGGGGGTTTAGTGTTGTAAAGCAAATATTTTCAGTGGCAGCATTGGTACTGTCGAATTCACAAATTATGAATTACTGAAAAGTAGAAAAAACAACAACTAAATAGCGGGTCGACACATTTGGTTATATTTTCTCAAAGTTTTGCCAACAATTTTGGGCCTCCTTCCTTCTGCCCTCCAGATATATTATGTCATTTTCAGAAGCTAATCATTTTTCTATAAATCTGTTTATTTATTACCCCTGTAATAAGCCTAATGTTTTTTATAACATAACATAAGTTTAAATTATTTATGTAACTGATAATGCAAATGCTAAAAACAATGTCTAAATATGAGTTAACCCAAGAATGCTTGTATACTTGCAGTTGTTGGGTAACATGTTGTCATGGAACAGACTGATATCTGCACTGGTTCTACAGAAACTTGCCCTGTCTGGTCTGCTAAATAGGTACATTGTGATAGGATTGGTATCCTCACATATAAATAGGGAGGCTTTACATAAGTGTCAAGCAGTAAGTCATTTGTTTCCATCTCTTTGGCCACAGTCACTTATATACATTTGTCTTTGACATTCTATTATATATTTATTTTGTTAAGTCTAGTGGTGAAACAAGAACTTCAGATTTGTCTAAAATATGTCTGTTTTGTTATATGACATGGTAAATTTTTAAATTTTTTTTTTAAAACGCTGTTTATAAAGGAAAAATGAAATTGTAATTAGACAAGACTTTCAATATTGTTTTAGAGTAACATAAACTTCTTTTATTTAAAATATTACCTTCATTAAACAATTGATTCAAACAGTAATGGTTTGAGGCTGCTTTAACTGCGAGAACAAAAATAGATAAAATATTGAGTTTTTGTCCGGAAAAAATTCCAATTTTTTTTCCATGGTTTAGTCACATCCTTGTATGAAGCATTTTGTAATATGTAGTTGTTCTGTCATATTCCACTTTTTTTTTTCTAATTTGTATGACTTCTATTCTAGATCTCTGTAGTATGTTATATGTTGTTCTGCTTTGTTAGATGTTTATGTTGTGAACACAAGATGTATGTTTCTATTATTCAATTAGAATTTAAACTGGCTTTAAGATACTGTAAATTTTAATGTCGTCTTTTAATTGTTCATTGGTGTATTATTGAATTAATTTCTCCTGTCTTCACTATAATATTCAGCTCTTTTACCTTTGTTTTTAACTACTGTCCATTGTTGTATTATTGAATCAATTCCTCTTGTCTTCACTATAATATTCAGCTCTTTTACCTTTGTTTTTAATGACTGCCTATTGTTGTATTACTGAATCAATTCCTGTCTCCAGTACAACACTGCACAAGGCATTACCTTTTTCCCCCCAGATCATTTCCACATTTCCCAAAGACTGGTTCACTAACCTAGAAGGGGAGTCAACTCTGCCACAGCTGGAGAACTTGTGTCGTTACCTGGTCTCAGCTGCTAAAACTCTCCACAAAGCCACAGCTTTAGAGAAAGATGCTGAGAGACTGGAGGGCAGGTAGGGAGCACACTTGTCATTTGGTTTACATTGATGGGGATTGTTTGATTTTATGTTGACCTGCAAGTTTGTGGTGGGAGGGGGGGGGGGGTCATATGTCCAACCCCTTGTGTGATGGAGTACTAAGTGCTTGTATTTTAGTTGAAGCCCCCACCTACTTAGAGATCTCTGCATATGAAGCTATTGGGTCGTCAGCACTATGCCCAGGTGCACTCTACTGACTTGAACCCCGATTTGAACTTGAGGCTGTTGCGTTAGCAGTCTAGCGCTCTACCGCTAGGCCACACTGTCCCATAAGCTAATTATTTGCTGTGGTTTTAAAATCCAAGGTTTCAGTGGTTCTGACCTGGCAAGAATCCTTGTGCTGTCCTTGTGTTTGGACCCCATTTCCAGTGGAGTGGCAACACCTTTTTCACTAGTCATTGCTTCATTCTCCAAAGTGATAAGAGGAACAGAAAGTGAAATGCTCCATAGAATTAGAAATCTGTCATTTTGATACTTTTACTGCATTAAGAACTAATGATTTTATTGATTTGTGTCTTAACACTGCAGTTTAATGAAATAAAACTAGAGGTTTAAAAGAAATGTATAATTTTACAGTTTTTAAAAAACTTGCATTACAGAGAGATGGTGAAACAAATCAGCAAACACCTGATCAACATCCACGCTATGGACCACGCCATGTCACTAGCTAATGAATTCAGCTTCAAAATATCATGAACAGTGGCCATCCTGTTTTCTTCCAGTCTTGTCAGAAAGTCTTTGTTGTCTCTCCACTATAATAAAGAAGTTACATTTACACATCAGCTGCACAGTTATAGTTTCACCTTTAGTGGATCAGTCAGGGGGGGGGTGTATGTAGATGGACTGGTTGGAATATGTAGGAACTAAAGTTTTTGATTGTCATTAGTGATAAGTTAAATGAGTTGGTTGTAATGTGCACCTTCTTTCTTTTTATTGACATATTGTATGTGAAATAACACACTTAACATACACGTAATCACACTTATGAGTGTTAATGAGTGATACCCAGTTAGGGAGGTTAATTTTGCACCAGAGCTATACACATAGAAGAAAACAATGCTAGATTACAGGTTGTATTATTAAGCTGTGATTTCAATTTCACAAACTTAAGAGATTTAACATGCTGATGTTGATGTAATAGGACATAGTGCTGATCACACTATCCCTTCAGATGAAGTACTCAAAGAAATGAAATGTTATTTCATCTGGTATTTTAGATCATTGACATTTTACTTTCCTGTTGGAGAATATAGATAAGATGTGCTCTTATTGTATAATGCACAAGTGCACTAATTTTTATTCAGTAAGTCTGATAGACAAAACATAAGGCATTGACTTCAGTTGTGTGGCCATATTGAATGTCAGTCGAATTGATAGACAAAACATAAGGCATTGAGTTGTATGGCCATAGTGAACGTCAGTTAAATTTTAAATAACTGTAGATTGTTCTGTTAAAAAAAAAAATGTTTCAGTATTTTTGAATGGTTACTTTCAGCTGATGGTTTTACATCACTGTATGCTTAATATAGATTCCTTATTTTAAAAATGATTGTGTCATTCGACTTGTATAAATTAAGATACTTGTTCTGTTTTGTTCAAATAAAATAAGACTTTGTGATTTGATACTTTGATATATTTGCTGGATTTGTTTTAGCATTTTGTTGTAAAGTTTAGAATTTTAAAACAATTTCTTGACTTCTGGTTCTCATTAAGTTTCTGTGTTTAAAAACAAACAAACAATAAAACCAAACTTTTATAAAACAAATGGTATTGTTCAAGTATATTTTTCTGATAGTTGAATCTTTTTGGTAATGTTGCCTTTTAAAATTCTTTCTGGTGTATTGAGGATAGAAATATTACTCTTGACAGCTGCCCAGGACAATAACTCTGTTTTCCCCCAGTTTTTGAGATCTTTACAGTTATGTCACTCTCTTGTGAATTCTTTCCATTAGCAGATATGATTTTTATAATGGGTGGGTTTTTTTCCACCAAAAATTTAGATTGAGTTAATTTGAAAATTAATTTACAGTTTAATTTTTTTTGTACAGCAATTTTTTTTTCTACTTTTATAATTTCCACCTGAAAAACAATATCTGGAAAAAACCTTTGACTTTATGGCACAATCATGGTTCTACATCCTGATTCTTACCGTGATAAGACCTCGAAAAGTTTGTATTTAATGTGTACTTACAACCTGGGTGTCTTAAACTAGATGCAGTTTTTAAAATCTTAGAGCCAACTGAAAAAAAATAGTTAAAGAGAAATAAAAACATGAAATTCTTGTGATTTATTAAAATTTGTAATCAGCTCAATAAAACAAATTAGGAACATACCGTTCATATTAAGAAAGATACAGGGTAAGTTACAACAGGTTTGAGAAAACAACTTGATAACATCATGAGGAAATGTGTTTACTGTTGATATCACAAGAAGAGTAGAATGTATTACCGTTGTCAATGTGAGAACATTGCTTTGGGGTCGTCCATAAATGATGTCACACTCGTAAGGGGAGGGGATCCGTAATTTTGTGACTGTGTGATGACAGAGAGATGGTTCAGATGGTGCGACGTCACACTTATGCATTAGAAAAAAAGGTATGTTAGAAAACTAATTTTAGACGTTAGTTTGGGTTTTAGAACACTGTTATGATAAATTGTAATAGGAATTGATTAAAATACTATAAATAAACAGAGTTCAGACAAGATTTTGGAAAAAATATCGATGTATTAAGAAAAATTCAACTGCAATTTTGAGGGGGGTTGTAGGCTGAGGTGTGACGTAATTTTAGGGGTGGGGGTCTGGCTTTTTGAGACGATGTGTGACGGGAAGAGGGGAGGTAAAACTCGTAAAAAAAAAGCGTGACGTCATTTATGGATGACCCCTTGTGTTTTACTGTAGTCAAAATCGTGAGAAAATGACTTGTGTGGCTTACTGCTGATGTCACAAGGAAATGAGTAGAATGTTTTACCGTTGTTAACGTGAGGAAATTGTGTATTACTGTTGTCAACATTATGAGAAACCTAGTGTGCTTTGTTAACAAAATAAGGAAATGACACGTTTTTATATTTGGGTAACATGAGAAAATCACTGGTGTGATTTACTGTATATAATATATATTGTTAGAAATGTTTACTGAATGAGAATTTTAAAAACAAATTGTTTTAAAAAAAAATGTTGATATGTCAATTTGAAATTGTTATAAAAATATTTTGTTTTGTTTACTCACGTTAATATAAAATTATAAGTTATAAAATCCAAACGTTCAGTAATGCAGTTGTAAGGTCAAAATCAACAAAACATTCTGTTTTGCAAAAAATAAATATTGTTTTACAGTACAGATTATTAAAAAAAAAACAGAACAAGAGAACATAGTTTCATCAGGAAACAAATATGTAATCCGTTGATAAACGTGTTTTAACATGAGCATGAAGTGGCGAAATATAAGTTAGGTAGAATTATTCCATTTTTTAAAAAGTATTCACCCCCGTACTGTGACGTATTAGCGTAGTGTTATGACGTAGTATAGAGGTGCTGTGACGGAATCAAAAGGGTCCGTGACTTAGTGTGGTTAAATCACGTGACAATATGGCGCAATCAAATAGTTCCATACTATAACTGTAAGCTTAAAAATTTATGTATAAGTATATAAGTGAGTTGTTTAGGAAACTTGTTAAAGGAAGGAGATACTTTTTACGTTTTAGGATTTCTATAGGTTTTCTATGAAAGCAGCAGAATTCTGAGCGAATCTCCCCAGCTGTCTGCTTGTGTTGAACAACTTGGTGGTGACTGCTATAGTTTTTTTTTTAATGTATGCGTTTTTCTCGGCTTATTTTTTTTCCGGTTCCCCTGAGGAACAGCCTTTGACGATACTTAACTAACTTTCGCGATTTGCGGCTAATTAAAAAAACATGAAAATCAAGCCATAAAATTTAGCCTCAATATCTCGATGAAGATTGTCTTCCCCTTCTCCTCAAACCATCCGGGTTCCACTCCAGCACCCGTCTAGAGGTATTATTAACTTTTTTTTCTAAGAGTGTCCTGGATCCACCTTTACACTTCCTTCATCCTATTTTGTACTCAACAAGAACCTGTCTGTATACCTCCCCCCCCCCCAATCACTTTCCCAGTGAGGTTAAAATTAAGTCTTGCCAATGTCTTTCAAGATGTGCATTTGTTTTTTGTGATGTCTCATTTCTGTCTTTAGGCCTTCGTGTTAATGCTATGCTAAGCTGTCTTGGAGCCTTATCCCCTTCCTGGTGTTTTATTACGTCTGATCTATGCCGTACGTTTCTGTTTGTTAAGGTACCCGACCGGCTAATCTAGAGAATGTGCGGCATCATAAGTTTGGGTTAACTTCTTGGTAATACCACACAAAACCCGCACTTTTTAACACGAAAAAGAACATTCTAGTAACAGAACGTGTATACGAGGATTTACCTTTATACGTTCTGTAATGGCTATTGGTTTTAGAACATTGATCTAGCCAGTTAAGAGAATGAAAAAGTCACCATTGGGTAACGGCCCATAACTAGTATTAGCTAGTAATTTTCACCGCCTGCCTCATGGAGTATAGCACTACGAGCCGACCCGCTGCGTATCATACGCCGCTATTTAGTTGTTTTTTTTCTACTTTTCAGTAATTTATAATTTGTGAATTCGACAGTACCAATGCTGCCATTGAAAATATTTGCTTAAAAACACTACCCCACCCCCCCACCTGAAAGCAGCCTCCTCTTAGTTACCTCCTCTAAGTTTAAAATCGTTTCAAACTAAATTATCTGCCCCTAATAGCCGTCACCAAACCCGTCTCTGTGATTGTAAAATGTAAACAGAGTGAACACCGCTCACCAGATCATGTGGGGGTGGGATGGGGGTGGAAGAGAGGGGACTGCAAAGGCGCGCTTGCAGCTTGTTTTCTAACTGATCCCAGAAGAGAATTATATATAGCACTATAAAGTCACTCCAACATCCGCTAAATGAAACAAAAAACTATGAAATTGTTGTAAAGTTCACTAACCACGCTAGTTATATGTGCAGAATGCGTTTTTAAAGATTCCCTCCCTTATTTTTCTCAATGTCATAGTTATTGTGTTGATGTAAAAGTATAAGCCAACAATAAATTGAATCAAAGCAAAAACACACCCCAGAACTAAGATAAACAAAACTGTATTATAAATACAAATGTAATCATAAATAAATAATTATATTTTTCATTCAATAATCACAATTCAAAACAAAAAACAAACCAAAAAAAGAGCAATAAAACAATCCGTTACAATCCGCGTTGGTCTAGTCTTTGAATCCACTGAGGCCTATCCAGGAGGCTGAAAATTTGCTTGACGGCACTGACAAAGTTGGTGGTCAGCGACCGTAGGTACCGTTCACCTACGGTCGTGTCCTTATCCCAGTGCTTGCAGTTCATGCCGTAGTCGGCGGCGCACTGGCGGTAGTGGTGGACGTAGGCGTAGGCGGGGTCGACGCTGTGGGAGCGCCACAGCTCCCGGTTCTGCTTGCTGATGTGGTGGATGCCCACCTCGAACACACGCCAGGGGCAGAGGATGACCTTGGTTCTCACCTGGGGGAGGGAGGGTGTGGGTTAGTTCAAGGTCAAAGGTTGAAGTAAAAAAAAATGTGAAGGATTGTAAGGATAATAAAAGGTTACAGAGGTAGGTTTGCAAGTTCACTATTTCATGCTCTTACTCACTGTTACCATTGGGTTCAGTCAGTTTCCAGATAATCCATTCACACATGCACCATCACATCCAATATATTTTCTCTCACTCATCCAACGTAAAATCTACTCACTCTAGTCACACATCCATCCACTGATAAACTCACACATCCACCATCTGATCCACTAACCATCCACCAAATGATCCACTCACAAACACCATTAGACATCTCAATAAATCACGATTTACATTGAATGTAGACTTTTACTTTGTGTAGGTTACTGTAAGTAGAGCTTAACAAGTAGATAAACCTACTTTTTAATTGGACTAAACAAGCAGATAAACTTTATCTTTTTTTGAGCTAAACACGCTGATAAAGCTACGTATACACTGGAGTTAAAGAAACGAATACACCTACTTTCTACACTAGAGCTAAAGAAACGAATAAACCTACTTTCTACACTAGAGCTAAAGAAACAAATAAACCTACTTTCTGCACTAGATCTAAAGAAACGAATAAACCTACTTTCTACAGTGGAGCTAAAGAAACGAATGAACCTACTTTGTGTAATGTAGTGAAAGTTTTCCCTAGCAAACTAAATGGTCAGACTCAGCCACGCCCATTAATGTGAGGACGTAGACAAGTAAGATCAATACAAATACCATCAATCAACGCGTTTTCAAATATCCAGACGTGTTTATAAACGAGATTCTCCTTTATGTAGGTCTAGTTAACAGTCCGGATTTTTACGAAACTAAAGTTTGAAACAAATGTTAGCTCCGTGTGCCATTTATAAGCACTAATAATCGTCAATCACAGATACATTAGCGAGTTTTTCAACAACAAAAATGTAAGCAGATTTCAAGTCGGACAAATTTAAGCCACCAAGTTACACAAGCTCTGTAATAACTAGACTTAACATCATTAGATATGTTGTTTTCTTTTATCGAACACCAACATATGTTTTGCCTAAAGAATTGAACGATTATTCAAGCTATAAAACATTTTTCTGTAATAGGAAAAACAACCAAAATATTTTAGAAGAAGAATGCGCTATTTAGTTAGTTTTTGTAACCACAAAATAAGATTCGATATTTAGCACGGTAGTTGAGTACTGAGTGATTGTGTAGACTACACAAAACAAATCCTTGCTTGTTTGTTTCATGCATACATAGGTTGGCTAAAGGAACGAAAACAAAATAAAGTACCTATACATCAATGTAGGTGTTGGACATACTATGTTGTTGACCTGACTAAAATCATTAGACCGTGCAACCGCATGCTTCTCACCTTACTGAAGTCATTAAACCGTGCAGTCACATGTTACACACCTTTCTAAAATCATTAGACCGCGCAATCACGTGCTACTTTACTAAAATCATTAGACCGTGGAAACAAAATCACGTGCTACATTACTAAAATCATTAGACCGTGTAATCACGTGATTCTCACCTTACTAAATCATCAGACCGTGCAGTCTCTAGATACTCCCATTACTTAAATCACTAGACCATGGCATCACCTGCTACTCACCTTACTGTATTCCTTCGAGCGTGCAATCAGTATAGGCGTGAGCAGATTGTCCTCGTCCAGACTCCGCAGCCCCAGGTCGTAGAACGCGCTCTGGAACGAGAGACCACACCTGTCGTGGGTGAGCAGGCCCCTGAAGGCGTCACCCCAGGTGGTGAAGTTTGAATGTGGGACGACGAACTCGTCAATGTCGTTGAAAGACACCAGGTCGTGTTTGGGCATGGCCCGGTACAGACAGTCGTTGTTGGCCAGGAGTTGGCCGTTGTACCAGATCCCCGCGCCCGGGACGATGGAGGGGAGGCGCCAGGGTAGGACCGTGGCGATCTTTCTGTTGCTGTAGAACCTCAGCACCCTGGAGACGGGCTCGGGTAAGCTGTGGTTGTAGAAGTAAAAATGTTCCGCTCCTAAAAGTCTGGAGAGTTCTATAAATTCTATCAACCGGTATGGGTTGACGTTGCCGAAAAGAGGCGAAACGCATATGGCGAAAGATGGTTGGAATTCTGTGTTAGATGGACCAGTTGTAGTTGGAGGTGTTTGTTTATCAGAAGGCACATTAAGATTAACATTTAATATTTGACTAGAGAGCGGAGAATCCTTTTCTTGTGGGTAAGCGTCTAGAAAAGGAATTTTGTATTTCGGTGGTTGAATTTGTAGAACGTTTAGTTTGATGCGGGGTCCGTGTTTGGAGGCGGAGATGACTATGTAGTTTAGACCCTCGGAATTTGTTTCCAGTGAGTCAGGGACGGGGCAGGAGTAGAAATAACCGCCGAACATCCGAGCGTGGTTTTCGCACAGCTGGTAGAACACGGCTTTTACCGGGGGTGCGGAAATGGAGTCGTTGAAGTAGCAGTAGATGTTGTAGGTGACGGCGAAATTCTGTGAAGTTAACGTCAGAATCCTGATGAAGCGTTTCTCTTTTCGGTCGTCCATGAACGCGGAATAGACGTACACTTGTTTCGCGATGGCGACGAAATCGCCGGAATCGACGTCGGATATTTTTAGATCCGAATCCGGTTCGGATATAGGTGACGGGGATTGGAAATATTTTTCCGGAAGTTGCGTTGTCGGTGGCGACACGCTTGAGTGGATTTGACGAGTTTGGCCGGGCGTTTCCGAGAAGGCGAGTCTAGTCACAGATGTGCGGTTTGCTTCTCTCTGCGAGACGTCAGCTCGTGGACTCAGGCCCGGGGACGATGCCAGGGGAAAGAGAGACAGGTCCGACTCCGGCTTGGGCTCCGTGACGTCGACCCGGAGCAGGAAGAGCAGGATGACGCCGATGTAGGAGAAGAGCAGGACCGTGAGCAGCTTCCGACACACGAGTCGCCTCAGATACGCATAGCAAATCATAGTACTCTGGTGTCAGCTAACTATCAGGGGAATACAGAGGCGGATTCACTATCTTAGCCCGGTAATTATGTAAGTGATAACAAGATAAGGCTTGTAATAATTTAAATGTAAATCACACATATATTTTTTTTTATTTAGAAAAAAAAAAGAGTAAGCTTTTATTTTTTTTAGGATAGTTTACCTTTTGAAAATAAAAATACAAATAGTGTGTAGTGATGAAGATGGTGTGTATTTTTTGAGTTGCCGATGCCCTTACGATGGGGTATCTTCATGCGATGGTGATGCCCGGCCCTGTAGCGTTACTCTACAAAATTATTCTAGTTACGTGCCGATAGACGATGGCCGGTAACTCGTGTGCAGAGAGCAGTCTGTAGATTCGAGTAATGTCCCCTGCTACTCTTGAACCGTCCATGTTTAATTCTGCCGTAGAATGGTCTCGTCTATATATGTTCCCTTTGGCTCAAAATACAAAGTTCTGCGTCGTCTGAGAAAGTAGATCAGCGATGTGATTATACCCAACAATCCTCAGTGTCAGGGGGAGTTCGATTAGTTGAGAATTTGTAGACAAGTGCTATATTTTATTAGATTTTGGTCACGTTTTCTGTAGAGTAATAAGAAAAAGAAATTAAAATCTATGACAAAAATAATTTAAAAGTGAGAAAGCAGTGTGTTAATATAAAATTTAAAACACACATACACACTTACACACATACACACACACACACACACACACACATACATATATATATATATATATATATATATATATATATATATATATATATATATATATATTTAAATATATATATATATATATATATATATATATATTTATTTATTTATTTATATATGTATTTGTATATAAATAAATAAATAAATAAATAAATAAATAAATAAATAAATAAATAAATAAATATATATATACATATATATATATATATATATATATATATATATATATATATATATATATATATATATATATATATATATATATATATATATATATATATATATATATATATATATATATATATATATATATATATATATATATATATATATATATATATATATATATATATATATATATATATATATATATATATATATATATATATATCCCCAATAGACTAACACCATTTGTTACTGAGAGCTCACATACAATTCATATCTAATATATAAAGCTCAATTCTGTAACGCATATGTTTGTCGTTGGCATTTCTACGGATTTAAGTGTTAGATCAATTATCGTGCGCATTTGTCTAAATTTATGAGTTAAAAAATTACTATTAAAAGTGTTGGGAAATCATTTTCATTTTTCAAATTACAGTAATAATTGTCGGCATGTTCATTAAACACAAGTTTTAAAAAAAATATCATCTTTTACAAAAATTCTAATTATGTCTTTCTTTAGTCCTATAGCGCTTACTTCCCTTTGATAAATTAGGCAAACACAATTACTTCCCTTTATAAAACCATTGCATTAGTTGAAAAGCATTTACTTTTTAATTACTTTGTTTTGGTGTTGGGAAAAAAATAATTACATAATTAGCGGGAATTGATCAAGTGCAAATGTTGTAGGTATTTTACGGATAAGCTTGGAGTATTATAATTGTTCATTAAATTGAAACAGGCGCGTTCGTTTAAGTGAGTGCAAAAACTATGAATAAGTTGGGGTACTATAGTCGTTTATTAAGCTAAAACAGGCGATTCTGCCCCGGGCGTTTATGTTCGCGTTAGTGTTTTCTTTGTGTTTAGGTGGGTTTGCGTTAGTGGTTGCGTTTTGATTTGGTTCGTTTTTGTTCTTTCTTTTTTCGTTTTTGTTTGTGTTTTTTTTTGTTTGGGTTTGTATTTGTGTTTTTGGTTGGTTTTGCGTTTGGATTTGGTTTGTTTTCGTTCTTTCTTTTTTCGTTGTTTTTTTTTTGGTATTGGTGTTTGTGGTTGGGTTTGTTGTTAGGTTTTTGTTTTCGTTTGTTTTTTCTTTGTGTTTGTATTGGTGTTTGTGGTTGGGTTTGTTGTTAGGTTTTTGTTTTCGTTTGTATTTCTAATTGTGTTAGCGTTATGTTTGCGTTTTGTTGTTTTGGTTGGTTGTGGTTTGGGTGGGCAATGCCGGGTTTATGATGATTACTAAACACACAGGTAATGGTCTTTAACGGAAAGGTTTTTCACAGAAGCCAGAGCAGGGCCTGGCCGGGACGGCTAGTATTCATATATTTTGTACGCTTTTGAAACCCAACTTAAAATACGTATCAATATTACCAACCGCGACCAATGTTGACCGGGGCTAGTGAAATAATAACCACACAGTTTTGTGATGGCTAACTAAAATACTGAACGAACGGAAGGTGTGTATGCCCTATGTATGTGTTGGTGGGTGGGTGGGGGGGTGAGGGGTGGTATAAATGCGGAGAATGAAAAAAACTTGACAATCATAAATTTTAAAAAAATATATGTAATTATAATTTGTCATGAGCTTGATTGGAAAACACAAATCTTACCACAAAAATAGGATGCTGATATTATAAATCAAATTCAAACATAAGCTCAACTAAAGTAGCAAGCAAGAGATCTAATCCATGATAAAATGTTCACATCAAAATACGTTTTAAAATCCACATTTCTCGGCTTCAAAGTCTTTTTATCGCTTGTTGTACTTTTGTGTGAGTATGTGTCTAGCACAGGGGTCGGCAACCTGCGGCTCGCGAGCCGCATGCGGCTCTTTTGGTGTCAAGGTGCGGCTCTTCAGCTCGGTGCACAAATATTAATAATTGTTTTATTTTATTTTTTAAACTCATAAACGTATTTGTCTGCAGCACTCGGTAATGAACGATATAATAACAAATATAAACAATAAACATTCGCTATTCTATTAGAATATTTAGTTACTCCCTATTTCAATGTACTTCCTTGTTTTCTAAAGCTGAGTTATTTAAGTTTAAACAATACCTGTGTTTGGATCATATTTATCAAGGCACTGGTTACTTACACTACCGCCCACCACCATGGCGTGCTGTATGAAAGACTTGAGTGTAAGTTAATCACTTGCCGCATTATCGCCGTTAATCACTCACCGCCTAATTGTCGAGGACGGAAAGTGGCTCTCTCGTGAACCCGATTACACTACCGCAGTGCGGCTGCGTACGGCGCCTAGCTCGGTTTAATCATCGTATGTCGTATTGTAGGGTGCTCCTTAAAACTAAGATAGGTGCTTAGTGCTCGCGGGATAGCCCTGGGCGCCAAATCGCACCCTGCAGAGAAGCCGGAAGATGCGCCTGATTTGATTAGTAAGCGACTAAATCAACGCGTGTCTATAGTGTATAGTCTATTTTAAAAAACGAACGTAGGCGCCATAGTGCTCGCAGGTGAGCCCGGGGCGCTTCGGGTCGCGCAATCGACGAGGAGCCGGCGGTTGCACCTGTTGCAGTTTTGCCGCTGAATATAGTAGTACCCCTTACCCGATATGCAGAACGCCCGATTAATGGATGCCAAGTACTAACATAGCCGCTCGGGAACTCTGGGCGCCAATAGGTGAATTGACAGAAAATGCACCACCCGGGCGCCGCCCATAAAAAATTTAAAATGATTTTTTTTGTACAAACCTCTCCTGGAGTGTTTTAGTCAACTCCGGAAGGTTTCATGACGATCGGATGAACGGTGTCAAACCGCAATCGACTTTACTTTTATATACTTTATATAGAGAAGAATCGAATAGCGCGCTGCCGGGGGGGGGGGGGGGGGGGGGGCAATCCTGCGAGTTTGAAAACTTTTTTCGCAGAAACCTTTCCATGAGCATTCTTAGCAACTTCCCAAAGTTTCATGGCGATCGGATGAAAGGTGTAGTAATGCATAAAAGAAAAACAGACACACACACACACAAACAAATAAACATTGATATATATATATATATATATATATATATATATATATATATATATATATATATATATATATATATATATATATATAGATATATATAGATATATATATATATATATATATATATATATATATATACCAAATCCTAAATAAAGATCATAATATTAAAAAAAATGTTGGCGGCTCTTTAAAATCTGGGAAATTTTATAAATTGTAACTTTTGGCTCTTCGGTCTGAAAAGGTTGCCGACCCCTGGTCTAGCACCATGTGTATGTGTCTAGCACCATGTGTATGTGTCTATCACCATGTGTATGTGTCTAGCACCATGTGTATGTGTCTAGCACCATGTGTATTTGTCTAGCACCATGTGTATGTGTCGAGCTCCATGTGTCTAGCACCATGTGTATGTGTCTAGCACCATGTGTATGTGTCTAGCACCATGTGTATGTGTCTAGCACCATGTGTACGTGTCTAGCACCTTGTGTACGTGTCTAGCACCATGTGTATGTGTCTAGCACCATGTGTATATGTCTAGCACCATGTGTATGTGTTCAGCACCATGTGTATGTGTCTAGCACCATGTGTATGTGTCTAGCACCATGTGTATGTGTCTAGCACCATGTGTATGTGTCTAGCACCATGTGTCTAGCACCATGTGTCTAGCACCATGTGTATGTGTCTAGCACCATGTGTATGTGTCTACCACCATGTGTATGTGTCTAGCACCATGTGTATGTGTCTAGCACCATGTGTATGTGTCTAGCACCATGTGTATGTGTCTAGCACCATGTGTATGTGTCTAGCACCATGTGTATGTGTCTAGCACCATGTGTATGTGTCTGGTACCATGTTTATGTGCTGCAGACCTTCTGACGTCCACACGGCGACCATGCTCCGTGTGATACCAGATCCGGACATAACACGGCATGTGACCTGTTTGCCCGGTCGTTGACATACAATAACAGTTTCATGTCTTAGATGCAGGGATGGTAAAGTACAACTGGTTTCAAAATTTGTTTTCTACATAGATTCGTCAATATAATGGTGGTAAAAACATGTTGTTGAGACGTAACCTTTTTGTTTGTTTGCTTACGATACATATTTTTGTTACTTCATTTATTTTTGTTAAAGTAGTTATCATTGTCTGAAAAGTAAATTTCCATTTCCAAACCTGACAGGCTATGGGGAAGCTAAGTAAGGTTCACCTGTTTCTGTGACCTCAGCATATGAAGAGATAGTGTGGTCAGCATTATGGCCAGCCGCCTTTAGTTTCCCTAACGTGAGTTAGGTACCCATCAGAGCTGGGTCGACTCAAGGACGTTCTACTGACTCGTGTAATTGAGTTTTAAACATATCGAACATTGTATACAAAACATCTCCAAAAAACTACATATACTTTTCACCCCCCCCCCCCCCCCCAAACACATCACACTTTATTCGCTCCAACAAATTGCACTACATATCTCCAAGCATAAAACGCCCCTTTTACCAAAACACCCTACTCCACAACACCATTCACTGTACACCATACACCCTAATAATACTTTATATCATCCCCCAAACACGCTACACCCCATCAACTCATCTAACAAACTCCCTCCACCCCCTCCCCCAAACACCAGTACCCAAATGAGAGAAATCTATTCTAGAGTCCTGTTCTGATATTTATTTCCTTCAATAATTTATTAGACGGAAATGAAGAATTTCTACGAAGGAAGAGAG